TTATAAGAAGGTATTTTAAATTATGAGAAGATTTATTTTTGGTATAATGAGGTCACCATCAATTTTAGTCATTGGATGTGAAATCCAACAGATCAAAATATGTCACAACATTCAAAAACTTTTATTTTGGACACATCCTCAACCATCTAATTTTAAATCTAACGGCCAATGATGATTGTGATCTTCTTATATAAAAGATAAATAGTCCTATTATTTGCGTTTCTTACAAGGATTGTGTCATTATTCAACTCCATTTTAAAATGGGGAGGTTAAGAAAAAGAGCCTGGGCTTAATTGGTTAGCGCTTGATGATTTGCACGGCAACTTCCTAAGTTCAATGCCTACCAAGAGTAGGGACCCTCTTCTCACTTGCTCACCAAAAAGAACAAAAAATAAAATACAATGAGAAGGTTGGTTTCTTCTTAGTATAAATAGTAGTTTTGTGGCATGTTAAATGAAGCCACATCCTACTTAAGGGCCACTTTGGATGGACCACTAAACAGGATCCGTGCTATTGTCTTGCTTCGCTTATGCAGGGCTATTAACATAATTTGTTTCTGTTTGTTTTGAATATAAAAAAGGCCGACAAATGGGAGCTATGGTAATAGCAAGGAAAAAAAATATTTCCTTATTCTATAATGGGTGTGGTTTGTATAAAGCTGAGGCCCTCAACAATCATAGTAAGGAGTACCTTCAAATAATATCAAAAGATGTTTTAATACTAGAACTTATCATACTAACATCATAGATCAAGGAGTACCTTCAAATAATATCAAAAGATGTTTTAATACTGGAACTTATCATACTAACATCATAGATTAGATGTCTTTTGACGGACTTCCTAGACGAGTTTTTGAGGGATCGGTAACGGAGGGTGACTGGGTCAAGAAGAGAATACAACATACATTATGGAGTTGGTTTTCTATTACCAGGAAAAGATTTGGGGTGTCTAAGGTGGATATGTAGGTTAACGTTAGGAGTTTGATGTCACAATTGGTGGCTAAGGTGTGACATAAAGGGCGATGGAGTGTGCATGTATTGGGTAGCATTAAGCTAACCTGTGACGGTAGCTTGGTAGGCAACGCGGCACCAGCAGGAGTTGGGGGTGTGTTGCAAAACAATCTTGGTGTGTATTTTATGTTTTATAGGTCCGTATGGTGTCAAAATGGTGAATGAAGCGGAGTTAATGGCTGTGGTCTAAGGCTTGAAAATCTTTAAAAGAGCAGGGGTTGTAAGAATGTTGTGTGGTTGAATGTGGTGAATTGGCGTAATGGGATTTCTAGACCACCTTGGAAGCTGAGATCAATATTGCTGGAGATTATGGATTTGAGCCAAGATATGTCAGTTACCTTCCAACATGTTTACAGAAATGGGAATGAGATAGCTGATGCCTTAGCCAATAAAGGTAGTGGGATACCGGAGCTGCTTATTTCGGATTCTATTTTTATTTGCTCGCTTTGTAATCTTCTTTGATTAGTAAAATTACATAACATTGTAAAAAAAAATACTGGAAATCTTTGTGACACCCTCAAAATTCATTTTTATCTCTAATTATGAAATTTTAAAATTCAAAATTAGTGCAGATCGAGTAGATCTATGAACGCTTGAAAATCTTGACGGTCCAGAAAATGTATTACAATATGTACTATTTCCAAGACCTGGAGTTTATTTTTTCTCATGGTCATACATCTTGAGGTCAAGTTGATCGATTTGAAAATTTTGGGCATCGAAACAACCTTTTCTAGTGAATTTTTTAGTGTGCATTAATTTGAAACAAAATTTCCATCCAGAATCATCCACCTCCTAGCGCCCTTCTTAAATATATTTGAAGTCAAGATGATTTATTAAAAGACAAAAATAAGATCGACCATGCTAGGTATGTTAGGGTATGATATTATGACTTAAGCTACCACAACTATCCATTTTGAACTAATAGGTGTAACTGTTACATTTGATCTTTATTATTCGTTGTCGCCTTAAACAACTCCTACACAAATAAAATAGACTTTCTAAAAAATAAGGAATGGTAAAACATGCCCACCTCTATGTTGTGCAGACACCTATACGCGCGAGCATTTGAAAGTATCAGAAATACTGGTATCAAGATTAGTTTTGAGATTTCGATCATTTATATACAATTTTAAAAGAAGGGAGAAGCGAGATTTTGGGTAAGGGTGAGATTTGTATAACCAGCAACCTTAAAAGGCACACCTCAAAATTATGTGATAAGAGACAATTTTGGTGCTAGAAAGCTTTGTGATGTCATGAAATTTTTTGTCACCCTAATTATGAAATGTAAAGCTCTAAAAGTGGTGCAAGTTTAGCAGATTTATAAATTATTAATTTTTTTTAAAATGGATGGTCTAAATAATACATTACAAGGTGCACTATTTTTAATTGAAATCTTTTTTTTTTTTTTTTCATATGCATACATCTTGTGGTCTAGATGATCAATTTTAGGGTTTCTAGCATCTGAAGAACCTTTTCTAAAGGATTTTTGAGGTGCGTTTCACCTTATATAAACTTTTTTCTATAGGGTATTATTAAGTATTTTCTAGTAAAATTCAAAAAGGAAAAAATTTATATAAGGTGTCAATCTTCTACTGTTAAAATAAGGCACACCTCAACAAAAAAAGGTCGTTACAATGCTTAAAACATCCTCAAATTGATTATATTATCGTTAAGACGCATGGATATGAAACAAAAATGGCTTTCAAATCATAAAATAATGCATCTTGTAAACCATTATCTTGACCGTCTATTTTCTAATCTTTTAATTATTTAGATATTTGCTCGATTTACATCATTTTAGGAGCTACATATTTCATTATTAGAGGTGACAAGGCTTTCTGGCATCAAAACTGCATCTTTCAGTAAAATTTTGAGATGCACCTTACTTGCATAGTATAATGTTGACAACTTATACAAACCTCACTCATTTCAAAAAGAAAATTCACGAGAACTTGTAAGGTTTTTAAAGCCCATCTCCTACTAATACGTCCCACACGTGCAAAAAATGTTATCACGTGAAATAAACCCTATGCATGGGATACAACTAATCTCAGCCATTGGTCACTAAGAACTAAGGGGTGATATAATAATCCTAAAATTTCAAAAAAAAAAAAAACTTTTAAAAAGTGATGGTCCATATAAGTATGATGGTCCTTATAAGCATGATGGTCTTTAGGGACCATCACCACTTTTGATTAACCTTTCCTTTCTTTACCATATCCTTTAGTGGACGTGAGCTTCCGGTGTAATATAATTGTAACTTAATAAAATAATATAGTAAGGTGTTTTAAAGAAATTAAATAGGACGAAAGGTAAGACGTTGCCTAACAACTCCTTTTTCACTCTCCCTCTTACAAACACAGTGAGCTCTTCTCTCTAGCCGAATTTTTATCGGAAGCTCCCTCTCAAATATTTTAGGTAAGTGACTTCATTATCTTGAAAAATAATCCGTTCTTTTTAAAAATGAAATGAAATAATTACTTCTGCTTATTGTCTTGAAGTTTAGGCGCGATAAATTTTATGCGCAAGCGACCTTATTATTTTGAAAAATAATCTTTTTAGTAAAATTGTGATATTTTATCTACATTAGAAATTTTAAATGCTGTAAATTCTTAGATATAAATTTATTTATTTTTCTTGTCTATTGTTAGAAAGTTTTAGATACTGTAAAATTATTAGAAATAAATGTGATATTTCTGCTTTTAGTAAAATTGTGAGATTTCTTTCTACTGTTTTTGAATATTTAGACATTGTAATGTGCCTTATTATTTGAAAACTGATATTTTTGTAATTAATTATAGCATTGTCTGTGAAATGTTTATTTGCAAATTGACATCTCATAAATTGTGATAATTCCGTATTCTTGAATTTCTATAAGAGTTTTTCTATACATATTAGATTGGCAATTATGCTAAAATATCTTTACGAACTGCTACCTTTCTAAATTTGAGCCCAAAATATTTGACTGGTTATTTTTGAGATGTTATTGAAAAAGACTGTTATTAATGGTTTCAGTGAAATTCATATTAATAATTTCAGTGATATGTTGAGTACATGATATTACTGCTTTCGAATGTTTAAAGAGATTTAAAAATACTTTAAGTATGCAAGTGGACTCATCCGGTTCGCCGGTGAGGTATAAGTGGACCTATCCGGTAGGCCGGTAGGGATTAAGTGGACTCATCCGGTATGCCGGTGAGGTATAAGTGGACCTGTAAGGATTAAGTGGACCTATCTGGGACGTCGATAGGGATTAAGTTGACCCATCAAAACGCTGATGGGGTATATAGGTGACCTACTTGAGATGCCAGTAGGGTATTTTGTGAAATCTTTTGAATTATGCACGGCCGGTAAAATGTTATATGCATTTCAATTATTCAAATTATACTTAATTATGTATTTTTTAAAGTGAAACTGTTGATGCATTTTTGTTAATAGATCTCCTTTTTGAAAATATTGATATCTTTCAACCATGATTATTTTTAGGATTATTATGGTCACTTACTGAGTAGCCAAACTCATCAAATTATGGTAAATATTTTTTCAGAATAACTGCGGTTTCATTTTGAGTGCTTATCAGGATCAACTCTGGAAGATATTGTAGTTGTGCTTAAACTTTCTTTTGTTACTTTATAAGAATTCGCTACTGTAAATTTGTCATATCA